GTCCAAAACATGTTCCTCCACTTTTTTTTAATCGTATTACTACATTCCTATTTGCCCAGAGTTTAAAAACTCTGAGCACTCTTTGAACCATTCTTCTGTCTTGGTCTCTACACTTAAACATTAACTCTTAACAATTCTATCTCCTAATATCTTTTCCATGTGCATCCCCCTTTCTTCCTCACTTCTGCTGCCTTCTTTCAGCAGACCCTCATTATCTCTAGCTTGAAACAATTTCCTTAATGTCTCTCCCTGCTCCCATTCATCCTAAACAGTGGAGCCAGATTAACCTTCCAGAAAGAAAGCTCTAATCCATCACCTTATTATGCTAAAAAACAGTCAGTGGTTCCTCCATCACCTTCAGTGTAAAGTTCAAACTCCTTAGGCAAGAGTCAAAGGGCCTCCATGATCTGAACACAACCTACTTTTTCAGTCTTATATCCCATATGCATCTTCTTTTTAAATTTAGAACCTGAACTGTTGGCCATTTTAAAGTTCTCTACCTATTCTTTCTGCCTGAAATGTTTCTCCTCTCAATTTCTGTCTATAAATCCTTTCATTCCCCAAGACCAACTAAGACCTATTTCCCTACAATGGCTTCCAAGGCAGAAGTAATTTTTCTATCTAGTAAATTCCTATAATATTTTATCTATATAGCTCTATGGAATTTATTATATACTAGACACTGAATTAGAGTTCATTATTATATGCCTTATATCTCTTACTAGAATATGAATTATTAAAAGTTAGAGACCATTGTTTTATTCATTATGGGTGTACCATATCATCTAGCATAGGGATTCTTTTTTTTTATTATTATACTTTAAGTTCTAGGGTACATGTGCGTAATGTGCAGGTTTGTTACATATGTATACTTGTGCCATGTTGGTGTGCTGCACCCATCAACTCGTCAGCACCCATCAACTCGTCATTTACATCAGGTATACCTCCCAGTGCAATCCCTCCCCTCTCCCCCCTCCCCATGATAGGCCCCGGTATGTGATGTTCCCCTTCCCGAGTCCAAGTGATCTCATTGTTCAGTTCCCACCTATAGCATAGGGATTCTTAACTCGTGGTCCACAGACTCCAGCAGACATAGATAGAATTCAAGGGGTCTCTAAACTTTTAAGGAAAAATTATTTTTCACTAGCCTGTATTGAAAATTTACATTTCCTTAAATTATGGATGCAAGTAACAAACCGTACTGTATTTGTGGTTCCTATGACATTGTCACCAATTAGTATCACAACTGATATTTTTATATCACATTATACTTGGAGATATCTCAAAATATCTTTTACACTTATCACTACTTCAAAATTATTATACTGTTAGGCCCTCTATAAGACCTTGGTTTTCTTTAATACATTAGTAGAATAGCATATTCTACCATATCACAAATGTTTTACATTATTTACTTTTTTTGTTTTTTGGTTGTTTTTGTTTTCGTTTTTGAGACAGAGTGTCACTCTGTCACCCAGGCTGGAGTGCAGTGGCGTGATCTCAGCTCACTGCAGCCTCCATCTCCCGGGTTCAAGCAATTCTTCTGCCTCAGCCTCCCTAGTAGCTGGGACTACAGGCACGTGCCACCACATCCAGCTAATTTTTGTATTTTTAGTAGAGACGAGGTTTCACCATGTTGGCCAGGATGGTCTTGATCTCCTGATCTCATGATCTGCCCACCACCTCGACCTCCCAAAGTGCTGGGATTACAGGCATGAGCCACTGTGCCTGGCCTATTTACTGTTTTAATATGATTGATTTTCTCTGTAATCTGTTTATTCTACCTTATTCATTTAAAATAATTTTTAAAAAAGATCTGTAGGCTTCACTAGACTATCAAAGGAATTCACAGGAAGAAAAATTAAGAATCCTTGAGTTTTAATAAGATACATTTCAAAGAAGAAGAGTATGTAGAAAAATAATCACAATACTATGTAGTCCTTGGAAAGTGCTGTAAAAAAAGATATACCATAAACTGTGGAATATTTTATAAGAATGTTCATAAAAATTCATAGTCTTGGCATTGGAGAAAAGATCAAACTTCTGTCCTCTACAACACCTCTATTAATATGACAACAGAGATTGCTGCATATCTCTAAGGATAGATAAGTTACTATTTTCCAAAGGAGAATATCCCATATAGACAGGTACAACTGTTAGCTAGTTGGTCTTATTAACCATAATCAGGTTCCTCATAACTTCTTGTCACTGATCTGTATTCTATCCCCAGGAAGCTAGACAGTATAAACCCAATCCCTACTCCATGTGACTTTAATCTTTAAAGACACCATCATGTCATCCTTGATTTTGTTTTCTCTGAGGTTAGTATTACTAATTCCTTCAACCATCCTTCTTATTATATAATTTCATCTCTGTGATTATACCAGTTGTTCTCTGAGAATATTCCAATGCCTTTGAGTTCCTCTTAAAGTGTGGTAATTCTGAACTCAACACAATACTTCAGAAACATGCTATTGAGCAGGCAGTTTTTAGTGGGACTACCACTTCTTGAATGCATCATACCGTACTTCTAGTGATACTGACTGAAAAAGCACTGGCAATTTTTTTGGCAATCTTCACTATGCTGACCCCATTGCATTTTCTGTGACTTAAAACTCATAGGTTATTATTTTATTTTTTTCATTCATCTGGCTGTTATTTGAATTTTCTTCAGTAATTACTTGTGCAGCTGGAATTTGGGTCACAACTTCTGAACTTGATAATAAGATCTATTAAATTTTATCTTGGTAGGTTATTTTTAAGTTCATAGTTTCACTTTGTTTCTTTCATGTATTATATTCACTGTTCCAGATTTGTGAGACTGGCAAATTTGATGAGCATGTTTTTGGTCATTTCATATCTGCATTTAATATATTTATATTACTTACATTAATATATACTAAAGATGCCTGAATTTCTGATTTCTAAAACATACATATTGCAAAAAAAAAAGATCTGTAGAGTATGAAAACATTCATTACTAGTAGAAATACAGTAATAAATGACTCTTAAAGGACTACTGTCTCATTCTGTAAGTGTCTCTCTTGTACAAAATCAACTGTAACACATGGTAACAAAGAGGACAAATAGAAAATTAACCATTACTTGTAAGGAAAAAATGATTTAAAATTCCCTAGTAGTTCAGGAAAAAAAATCATAACCAATGTCTTCATTTTTACATTAAAGAGTCCACCAAAGTATTTTGAAAACCACTTACTTATAGAACTAAAACCATCTTTTGGTGGATCACAATTAAAAGTAATCTAGTGATCTTACTTATTTAGTAGATAATTATCTGGCAATCCCCATTATTCAGAACAAGAACGTGGGGAAAAAAAGTCTCAGAAGCCAAAAGTGTCAGCATGTAGTTTGTGCACTAAAGATCATATGTATTTCCCAGACTCTCTCAGCAACACCTCCAGAACATACTTGTTCATATTTCAAATACAGTCCAGAATGTCCTGATTATCTAATTTTATAACCTATAAGCAAATAGGAGAAAATTAGAAATTATTTACAGCTAAGCAAGAAATAATAGCCTGCAACCTGATATTGAAGGAGAAACCAACACACACACCCAAAAAATATACGTATACATAAAAGATATATATATCAAGCAGACACAAGAACTCTTAAGTTTCATAATTGAAAAGAAAAATAGCCATAAAATCAAAGTACTAATAATCTCAATGATCACTAGGGGCATTATTATAGCACAGCAAAATAATTGACATTTATAATATATCAGTTATATATATTATATATAATATAATACAACAAGTCAAATGTATATAGTTTATAGTTAATATTTATATAGTTTATAGTTAATTAAAGACATATTCATTATTATTATTAATCCTCAAAATGTTTAAGTTGCAAAGTCAGTAACCAAATTTTAAATTTTGTGGCTCGAGTAGATTGAAGAATTTACCCAGGGTCACATAATTGTTTGAAGGGTACTGAAGTTCCTAGTCTACTATATTATGACCCTAGATAATAAAAAAAAAAAAAACACTTTGTGTCATATTACCTGATTAGTAAAACAGGGAAGCATGCAATATATTTTAGAAAGACTTCTACAAAAATTAATTGGAATCTTTTAAGTTTTTGAGCCCTCAAAGGAATAAAATTAAGTTACATGAAAAATTCCCTAATATCAAATCCCAATTTGTCTATAGTATCACAAAAGTATCAAGTTAACTTGCAACGCTAGTAATAAATCCAGAGCTATTAATTACTCTACATTTTAAGGCCTAAAATCTGTACATAAAAACTGAAAGTGCAACATAGTATAATCATCACTTAGACTTTATTTACTTTGTTTAAAAATATTATTGGAGAGTCTTCCTTCATTTCTGTTTTCTACGATGTACCTGAACCTGAGTGAACTCTTGTACAGAGTAGAGAAGGTAGACATGGGATGCTGCAAGAGATGTCATGTATCAAAAAAGTCACTCATATACTTTCAGTTTTAACAATATTTGAAGCCCTCTAATCTCCATTCTACAATGTTAGGAGATAAAATAATATATTTATAAAAATGAAGAGAAATCTTTTTAATTTTGTCTTTTAAACAGTTGACATTTTTATAAAGAATTACTATTCACCACAAGGAAATAGGGGAGAAAAAATGAAAAATAAAGTTGCAGCTAGGAAAAATCCCTTATTACCTTTTTCCAGAGTAGGATTATGGTCAGTTTAAAATCTTAATTTGTTATCTTAAGAACCAAACAAAATGCACAAAGTTTTAGAAAAACGGAGCTATCTGTTTAACACTCCTAATGGATCACAATCTGCCATCACCATGGTAACCTCTGAATAACTTTTTCCTAGCTAGTGACAATTATGCACTCCTCTGGGCCTTGCCCTTGAAATCCCACCTTTTTTTTTTTTTTTTTTTTTTTTTTTTTTTTTTTTTTTTTTTTTTAAGGCCTGGAATCTTTAAAAGAAAAAGAAAAAGAAAAAGAAAAAAAGAACCCAACAGTGAAGTCCGCACATACCCTCTTGTTCGGTCCGAGTCATTTCCTCAAGCTTCTTCTGTTTCAGTGTGTCCACCACATCGGCAAGACTCCCTTTGCGGCGTTCTGGGGTTCCAAAAGTAACACTGGTCATTATCTCGCGATCCCGACTCCCTTCGTCAGGCTTATGTGGTGAGGTAGAGGTATTTCGGAAGGAATATAGGGAACATAACTTATTATTCTCTGATTCCTAGAAAAATAAAATAAAATAAAATAAAGCTATTAGAATATACATTTCTTTGCAAGCTACTGGAGAAAAAAATCCCAAACTCAGGACAGTATATGATGCTTAGTAGGACAAATAAAATATACTAATTAAAATAAGATATAAGTAATTTAGTAGGACAAATAAAAAATACGATTCTGATTAAACAATACTGGTTAAACAAAGCATTAAAGAAGCCATTGTCAAAGGAACTAATGTGAAGTTGCAGATTAAAACTGTTTGGTTTTTTAAATATAAAGCAGTTTAAGTGCTTCAAAAACAAACCTTTAAACCCCTTACTCATTTACACCTTTCATTTAAATTAGTTCAGATTCAATGACTAATTATTAGGCTTGGTAAAGTTTTTCTTTTAATTGGACGCTTTTATTAGCAACACTCTTGCCATAGCATAAAAAGAAGCACATCATAAAAAACACTGTCCTTAATTTAGAACCAATAGAAAAGTTAGCTTCAGTAGCCAATGTTCATTGTTCACCAGAAAATATATAAATGATCTAAATCAGTGCCAGAAAGTTAGCCAACCTGAATATTTTCGTGTGCTGGGGTTTGGACAAAACTGTTTTGTTTTGGTTTTTCTAGCTATACAGCTGTCCAAAGTTACAGAAGTCTCTTTCTATTCCTTACCTTTACCACTGATACTTCAGCACATTTTTCATGTGGCATTTTAAAAAAAAATGTCTTTTTTTATTTTATTTTACAAAGGGACAAGTTTATCCTCAGGTGAGAAGTATTTTTTTTTAAAAAAAAGGACAGGGTTATTACAGAAATATGTGTGTAGGAATTACTTCATAGTATAGAGAAGTTAGCTAACTGCGAAGAGGGTTAGGTGGATCAGCTGAAAAGGAAAAAGCAAATGGTAGGTGGAAAACAAACACCTAAAAGTTCATAGAAATAAAATATTTTTATATTTCTTTAAATTGGAACTGAGGGTTGGAAACAGCTATTATTTTGCCGTAGCCCTTCAGCAGCCTTGCATTCACCTTTTATCTGTTTGCACAAGGGTATTCTCTCTCCCTATATTTATATTTTTAAAAATGTGTGTAAAGTAAGTCAGCCAGTCTTTGTGATCACCATCAGACTCCTGAAAATCCTAGTTGCTCCTCTATCTCTTTCCTTCACAAGGAAGCCCAGTAAGAGTCAAGAGCGTAAGGACAAGCATGAGGCAAAAGTTACATACTTAATAACTAATGGGAAAAGGGGAGAAAAGGAAAATGATATCTAGAGCAGTAAATTCCTACATATATTAAAATACATAATAATTGTACTCAACAAATGCTAGGTATTTTGGATTACTGTCATTGTATATAAGGTGGGAAAAAATGGATTTTCAGGGTTATTGAAAGCACACAATGAGATAATATTTGTAAGGTACCAAGGCATAGTGCTGGGCTCACAATATTGAGGTGGTGTTTAATAACTGGTAGGTACTATTTCCTGAAGGAAGGAACAGATTTAGGAATGGGACCAAAGAGATTTTTCTTCCTTCTGGACCTGAGGAATTGTGGAGTAAAAAATGTTTATGAGTCTCAAACTAAGATAAATCTTGTGAGACCTGGGAATATATTAAAAACAATTGAACTGTATACATTAAATGAGTAAATTACATGGTATATTTATTTCATCTCAATAAAGCTGAATCTTTTGATTAAGAGCTAAATCTCAATTTTTTCTGCATACCCATTGCTAGTACAATGCCCAGAATAGAGCTGCTCAATATATTTACGCTGAAATAAACGGAAAAGGATAAAATAAATGGGGCAGGGCAGGGAAGAGAGCTCCTCTTTACCTTCCTTCTAGATCCCTTCCTTCCCCCAGGAAGGATGTTTTATCTCACTTAATGTTTACAAGAATTCTGTGAAGTGATGCAGAGGAACCCCTTCTTTTAGATGCCAGTCATGGCTAGTATGTGGCTCCTTGGAACGGCCAGTTCGTTCTCCACTTGTGTGAATGAAAATGCAGAGATATATTTGTCAAAGCCATTTAAACCTCTTAATAAAGTCCATATTAGACATCTGACCAAGGCTTTTATGAATTAATAATCACCATTTGATCAATCATACTTCAGTTGCTTTCATTTCAAATGCCAATTATTGTCACATTATAGCCAAAACACACACACACACACACACACACACACACACACAAACAAAAAAACCCTGACTCAACCTAAGGGATTAAAGAACAAGTCAAAAACTGTAGTATGTGAAAGTGGTTACCTACAAATGACTCACCATTGACTATAATAAAGGAGATTTTCCATCACTGCCGAACTGAAATTGAAAGATACTAAGAGAGGCTCTCCAGCCTAGTAACAACTTTAGATTTTCCTGAGAACATTTAGGGTCCAAAGAGTACCATTTTTTCCTATCAGGACTAATGTCAAACAGTCTTATTTACATATTGTTATGTACTTGTTGGACTATGTTTCTTGTTCTTTACTCATGGGAATGTGGTCACTGCCATGCTGCACCGCAGACAATAACCATGGGTTCCTTATTGCAATGATGACCCACACTGTTCTTAGCCCCATAATCTGTGCAAAGTGGCTCAATACTACCAAGCAGCAGACAGCAAGAGGCTAGAAAGTCATGATTTCCCCACAAAAGCCACAAGAATTACTTGCAATATGTCACCAAATTGTAAAAATAAGCAGTAAATAAAAACAAATGGCTTAAGTCGTGTAAGTCATGTTATACCATGCTTAAGAACAATGGGAAGGGGCAAAATTTACCATTTCCAGCCACTGCTTTTTAACTTTCTAAAACCTAACAAATATTAACCTTTCATAAGTGGAAGTCTGTAAGCAATTCATCTGAGTAAAAGGGAACATAAATTAATAAACTTATAATAGGTTACTGTCTAATATGAAGTCAATAATGCCAACTTTAAAAAAAAAATCTTGACAAAGAATCTCTGGTTTTTTTAAGGAGGCTATATAATTTTAAATTAATTTTATTACGGAAAAAAAGCCCAGATTATTTTGTAATTTCTTAAGAACAAAACAGGTCCAATGACACATCAATTGAGGCAAAATACCTGATATGGTTTAGATTTGTGTCCCTGCCCAAATCTCAAATTGAATTGTAATTCCCAATGTTGGAGGAGAGGCTTGGTGGGAGGTGATTAAATCATGGAGGCAGACTTTCCCCTTGCTTATGATAATGAGTGAGTTCTCATGAGATCTGGTTGTTTAAAAGTGTGTAGCACCTTCCCACTCTCTCTCTTCCTCCTGCTCCAGCCATATAAGATGTGTCTGCTACCCCTTTGCTTTCCGCCATGATTGTAAATTTCCTGAGACCTCCTCAGCCATGCTTCCTGTACAGCCTGCAGAACCATAAGCTATTAAACCTCTTTTCTTTATAAATTACCCAGTCTCAGGTATTTCTTTATAGCAGTGTGAGAATGGACTAAACCAATGTCCAATGATAATATCTACCAAGTCTTAATGCATGTCACTGTAGGACTGCTGCGAAGAGACTTGAGACAATACATCCCTAAAGTAGTGGTTCTCAAGCTTCAATGTGTAGAATTATCTGGCAAGTGTGTTAAAATGCAGATTCCTTCACCCCATACCACCTTCCACAATGATGGGGCCAAGGAATCTGAATATTGATGAACAACCCAAGTGATTCCAATGCACAGGTCCTGATCCCACTTTAAGAAATACTGCTCCCTAAAGAACAATCATATAAATGTGTTTTGCCTTAATATTATAATGTGAATATAATTGTGTAAAAAATTTTTAAAGCTGGTTGTGATTCTTCAAAATAACATAAAGGAAATTATTTTTCTTCTTTTGATCTTTCTTTTGAAAACAACCACTGTTTAACACGACTAAACACATGAACACCACAAAAAGAAGAACATGTGGGCACTGAGTTAGTAAATATTAGTTTATTCAAAGGAAATTTACTATAAATTTCTTTTCCTTCAACCCCTAACTTCAGCAGCCCCACCAAACCTACAGTGAAGAAAATTTTCAAAATATGATTTAAAAGGATCCCAGTCCCAAATAAAGGAAAAAAGCCACGTTGATTCAGATAATCTAAAGAGCATTTCACTGGAAATCTGTTAAACACAGTATGTAAAATATATGTAGATGATTAAAAAGCACAGCAATATCAAAAAATAGTTATTAGACAAAGTTTCTAGGAAAGGAAAAGCAGTTTTTGCATATTTATGAACCAAGAATTTTAATTAAGATGTTTTCCAGTATTTGAAGAGATAAAGTAAATATTAAAAACAAAAAATATTAAAATGAATGTCGTTCAGATTTTTCAGAAGTTACTATTCAAAACTGATTGTTCACCAATGGCATTCAAATGGCTTTAAATTTAAGTAGCCGTCTTATGGTATTGAATATATCAAAATTACTCAAATCTTTGGGGGGCATTTGAGTGTCTTGTTGCTTTTCCATAGAATGCCCTATATCTTCCTTAACTTTGACCCAACCCACTCTTCAAAGTTCAGATCAAACTGCATTTCATCCTTGAAGCACCCCTAACTATACTGGACCTCACTATCATACTACCCTCCAAACTACACATCAAAGCACTTAATCATAACCACGTAATTTAGCATTTAATAATATACTAGAATAAAATATTCATTACTATTTTGCATGTAATTTTCATATCTGTAACTAAATTTTAACTCTTAAAGGATTTCAGGACTTCAAGCTTCTTCTATAGACTTCCAGAGCATACAACAAAATTAAATAAGTGTGGACTGACAAACTTGAAACAACTACTTATCAAATGTGTCAAAAGTAATCAAAAGGCTGGGCACAGTGACTCACACCTGTAATCCCAGCACTTTGCGAAGTCAAGGCAGGAAGATCACTTGAGCCCAGGAGTTTGAGACCAGCCTACGCAACATAGCGAGACCCCATCCCTACAAATAACAAAAAAAAAAAAAAATAGCTGAGTGTGGTGGTGCACACTTGTGGTCCCAGCTGCTCAGGA